CAGCACATATCGAGACCAAATTGTAATCGGATGTGGTTACCGAAAGTCCCAGAACATATGGAGTACGTTCCAATTACGGCGAGAAAATCCCGACGACGTCAATTGAAAGTGTGAAATCAGGATGGCAGAGGTGGGTAATATAGTACTCGGGGCACACGGGAGTAGTTCTTCGAAGTCATGAGACACAGGAGCAGGGACAGGAACTTAGGAGGAGGAGAGCGGACGAGACATGCGGTGGGAGGCAAGCGATGTAGATTAAGTCAGCCAAACAGAACTGGCTTTACGTGGACAGGATTAGAACGCGGGGGGAGGGTTGATGGGCGTCACGGCGAGAGGCAGAAGCAGCAGAGATTCTCCGGACGCAAAGCAGGCGTGGCCGGATGGCCGGGACGCCGGGCAGGAGGTCCAGAGGTGTCCGCATGCCGGCCGGGAGTAGTAAGGGCGTCAGGACGCCATGCCGGAGTAGCAGGGGCCTCGGGACGCTAAGGGGGAAAGGGCATGGATTGTCAGGACGCCCGGAACCGAGCTAGCAAGGGTCACAACGCAGGGGGGTTGGAGTGCCACGCGTCCTGTGAGCGTCAGGATGCAGGAGGGTGCGGATGCGAACGTCAGGACGCAAGAACGGATTCAGCCGACGTCCTGATTAACGGTTTGCGTCCTGTGCGTCCTGTGCGTCAGACGCACAGGACGCACAGGACGCAAGAGTAAATTTTTGCTGATGCAGCTCTGCATGGTAATGGCTTAAGGCTAAATCGAGCTTTTTGGCAGCTGAGTATATTTGTGTATGATCAACCTCAGGAAGAAGGCTGTGTACTGCTGGATACTGACTTGGAATAGACATTTTCAATAAATCAATAGGAACTAGTATTTCTATCATATTTGATTCATTCTTTTCTCCTTTTATTCTTTCTCTTCTCTGACTCAATCTTTTCAGTATTTCTACGGACTTCTCCTTCTTGTATTAAGTTCTAGTCTTTCTTGCATTATGTTCTACTTAATTGCTGACATCTTCTAATAGGACATTTTGTTTACAATTTTCTACTCCCTTGTCCGAACACTACTGATTCTAACAGTGTATATTCTATGGTAAGCCCAAATGTGCACGGATCTCGTTGATATTCTAATTTGGCTTAGTTGTACTACCATCCCCCTGTTCGTCACCTCCTGATATTCGTCAGGACCCCATGAGGGACTGTAGGGGTTTAGGGTTAATAAGGGAGAGTGGTATGTTTCAAAGGTGTTACGGCTGCCGTCGCAGGAAAAATTGTCACCACTTTTGTGTAAAAACTGGTTTAGTATTGCTAGCCTTCCGGAACCATACGAAAACATGTTGCCTGACACCTGTACCGTACAAGCGAAAATATCCTGGGACAGTCAGGGTGTCCCAAGGCGAACCAGGGCCAATCAAGGTGGTTTCGCGTGTGACCCCATCTAATCTACGAGTACTCTCGAATCTCGCGTAACTACCATTACCGTAAGGCATGGCGATTGTGGTGTAACCTCAACTTTAACGAGCCCGTGATCATCATCATTAAACCGATCCCCCTCCCCCTCCCCCCAGCCCCACCTCACCCTCTCTCCATCTCCATACTCCCCGCCTCGCACTTCTACCCTACCCTCCTTCGCGTTTGGTTGAGAAACAATAACGGCCATGTCATTCCTCTCCCTCCCAAATGAAATAATCCTCCAGATAGCGGAGGGCCTCTCCCCGGCTCAGCTCAACTCCCTTTTACGGGCAAACCGCCGTCTAGCAAACCTCATCCCGCATGTCCTGCTGGAAACCCTCTTCCGCACGTGCTCACCACGCCTCGGCGCCTTCGCCCTCTTCAATGCAGCGGAGCGGAATGATTGGCGAGTCGTCAAGCGTCTTGTCGACCGCGGGATCCTCGCCTTCGCCGGTGGCGGTTTCTTGCTTAATCGTGCGGTCGAGCTGACGCGCAGCGAGCGGGTTGTGGCGACGTTGTTGGCCTACGGTGTTGAAGCGGATGCTTGGATGTCTGGAGGGCCTCGTTTTATGAAGACGCCGCTGTGGATAGCGGCTGATATGGGTTGCCGGGATATCGTTAGGCTGTTGTTGGCGAGGGAGGACGTTGATCCCAATGGGCAGGGTTGTGGGACGCCATTGGTCGCGGCTGTCAGGAGGAATGATGTTTCAATTGCAAGACTGCTGCTGTGCAATCCCCTGACGAGGGTCGATCCTCCGGGCCGGAGCGATGATGCACCGCTGCAGATTGCGCTGGAGAACGAGTGCTTGGAGATGGTCCTACTTCTCGTAGTGGATAGCCGGACCGACGTCAACGCAGCTTTCAATACGGGATGGTCACCGCTACACTTGGCTGCCAGCACGGGCAACGAAACAATTGTGCGCATCCTCCTATCAGACCCAAGCATCCGCGTGAACGCGCAAAACCACCGAGGCTGGACGCCGCTGCACCAAGCCGTCTGTGAAGGCTCCGCAGCGGTGGCGCGGATCCTTCTCTCGGATGAGAGATCGGACGTCAACGCCGGCCCACCATACCACCGCACAGCCCTCCACATCGCGGTCCAAAACGGAAACTCAGCCCTCGTGCAACTCCTGCTAAACGACAAGCGCACGGAGGTGAATCTCGGCCCACCCTACCACCCCACACCCCTGCACTGGGCTGTCGAGCGGGGGAACCTGGATATCTTGAGCCGCCTGCTGCAAGACCCGAGAATCGACGTCAGCGTGGCGGATCACACTGGCCGGACACCGCTGCACTTGGCCGCCGCAGCCCCCAGCGAAGAGACGGTGACGTACTTGCTGAGGGACGGGAGATTCGACGTCAACGCTATGAACACCTACGGCGAGACACCGCTCGACGTTGCGATGAAGAAGGGCAGGGAGAAGGCAGCTCTCGCTCTCATTGGTAGGAGGGATTTGGCGACCGAGGTGAAGGAGGTGAAGAGGAGGAGGGGTGTGTCCTCGCTATTGCCGATTGACTCGGCAGTTGGGGGTAGGGGCATAGTGTTAGTGCCTGTTGGTGATCAGGAGATTGGGGGGGCCGCGGGGGGTAAGGTGGAGACGCCGGTGCAGAAGGGATTCGGGAGGAGGTTGAAGGATGCGGTCACCGGGCTCACGATGCGAAGGAGAGATGGACTGTGGTGAATCAACAGGGCATTCGCAAGCGCGGGATAGCCACCCTGTACTGTACCGCATGTCCGGTGTCTGGCGCTGCCAACGCTAGGATCGGTATGGGTAAGCTTCGAGGAGCTCCACAAGTACAAGTCATGATAGTTTAACCCCTCTTGTAATATGTAACTACTATATCGACCGAGTTATTTAGATAGTAGCTGTAGTTGTTCGCGCAATGGATATAATACCTAGGCAAATTTCCGGAGAGGATAGACTTTAGTTTTGTTTTGTTTTCCTCTTGTGCTCACAGTAGTCCGATACCACGATACCAGGTCAAACGTGGGAAAGGCTGTGGGCTTGTGCGACCTACCGGTACTCGAGTACTGGGCTCGTATTGCACGGGGGTCTTAAGGTGCAATATTCCGCCTTGCCTTTGATCCCGGGTTTTTAGCTGCACAGCTCTTACCTGTACAGGGGTTGAGGAATGCGCCGTCATTCTAGGCGCTTAGCAGAATGGAACTGAAACCGGGGGGGGGGGGGCACCAGAACGGCAGAATATAACATATACAGTACAGTACAGCCACGCATCGAAGTCTCGGAGCCTGACGATTTGGAGAGGAGATGGATGCGAAAGGACGTCGGGATGACTTCGAGTATGATAGAGAGCGCTCCACGACAGGGAACCACCGCTTGTACCCGTGATCCTCAAACTTTTATGGAGGGGAAGATTTCGCAAAGGTTGACGGCTGTGGTAAGTAGTACTGTTACAGCGTCCGCGCAGGGGGGGTTTTTTTTTTTAAAAAAAAAAGTGTGGGGTTTGTGGGTTAAAGTGTTGTTTTCAGATCGATATTTCTAGCTACCTACGTTTTATGATGGCTTGATTCTTGGAATTATTACTTGCCTGATCGTCATATTTCGATCTGGGTCTTGTGCTGGATCTACAGCACTGGAGAGAAGTGAGTTCCCTCGATGCTGCGAGGGGGTAAATGCAAATGGCGGGAACTCGAATGTAGAAAATAGGTAATGTGTTGGGTACGATATGATTGTCGGAAATTTCCACCTCTGGGAAAGCGAGGGGGATACACGTCAAAGGACTTGCCTCCCGAAACGAGCAAGGAATGGGTATGATGATGATACCGGGCCGTTCTGGGAGTGGCGACGACGATGCCCTAGAACATGATCTCGCGGTATTCTAGGCGGAGGAACTGGCGGGACTCCCGCTAGTCACCCTTTTCAAGGAATACTAGTATTCCAAGATGATATACTTGCACTTCTGGCTGAGGGAGTTGGGGGGGGGAGGGGGGGGTTCGGAGGATACTTTGCGCTCAGTCTCATGCTCCCGGTCATGGAGAGTCGGAGTAATATATCTCCTTATGCATGTCAATTCGAAGCGAAATGACCACAGAGCAGGTTCTGGGCACTCGAGTGAGGAGGTATGTCGTCAGCGCCCGTACCCTAGTTATTGACACTGAGGTAGGGGGGATTTGTAATATCATACCCACATTTTGCCATCTTGGTCCTCCGGTTGCCCTATAACCTTCAAAACCTTTCGTGATGGGGAGGGGTTTTTTTTCTGGGAGCTTCATCATGGGGGTAGCTCCCGATTTAGTGAGGGACTTGTCAGGCAACTGGAAGGAGGGGTATGCATCCTGAAAGGATTTGCAACAATTGGTGTCAAGGGCCGGCACGGATTACTGGAAAGGCCCGGCTCAAGATCTGGAGCGTCGACTTTTGCTCTCATAGCGCTATAATAACTCTCTATAACGTTCTGCTCCAAGTCATTCAGGTAATTTGCATGGAAAGAATTTCCCTTCCCCCGCCTGCACTACGCACACCTCCCCGGAACTATCATACTATGTTTTTGGCGGTCAGTAGGAGCCCGCTCCCTGGGGGTATGATAAGAGAGGAAGCATACAATCGGTGGTAGGCTATAGGTGGGGCGTACAGATTAGATCAATTAGCTCTGACATGAGTTCCTCTGTTTTATTGTATGATAAGTTTCTGTACCACAACACTCTGAGCTACCCTACATTCCACACTGCCTTGAAAACTGCTGGAAATAGCGGTTGATGGCCACACCCAGTGCGGGATGTGCCCACACATAGAGACTTCAATAGTATGTCTGCGCCGCTGAAGGACGCGTAAGCTATGAAAACTTTTCTCTTCTCTGGCTTTCCTTTCCCTTTCTTCTCTCTTACGAGACAACCGCTTCCTGCACTTTACTTTTCTCTTTAAGTTCAGGTTCTTCCTCTCTGCCATCTCTGAGCAATCATGATCTTCCTCTTCACTCAAGCCATTCTACTCGACTGCGTAAACCCTCACCGTTGATCATTACCTCCATATCAATCATTTTTCAACAAAAAGGCATCTCCTTTTCCCGAGTGATATTGTGTGATTGGCCACAGCTGTTCTTCTCCACGCCTGAACCTCGGACACTCTTAGTGCTGTATACTCCCCTTTTTATGATACCTCCTCGGCCAGAAACCCTACTTCGTCTTTACAGAAAGTCTGGGTACTATTGGCCGGTCTCCATTTATAAGGACCCTAGCTCCACTTCTCCTATTTAACTACTATCTCTCTCTACAACCGCACTATCTCGCCAATACCCCAGGATGCGTGGGCCCCGTTAAACTCAGAAGCAGCCCCACCAGCTATGACATTCCTGTCGCCCGTCAGGGGCCTGTGTAGGAGGGATCGGAAGCTCTACTTAATCTTAATTTCGGGGGGTGATGCTACTCGGGCACAAGTATACAATATCAAGTACAGTACCGTCACATTTGGGTCTGGATTTAGTACGGGAGTTCATGCGGGCATAGGTGATCTGTCACACAGTTTTTTTTCTTTCAATCCCTGTGTTTGGTGTGCCTCATTCTCACTCCCCCGTAGATCGCGCCGAACTTGCTCTCAACATAAATCATTAACATTGCAGAGGTAGCAAGAGAGTAGACGACGGGAAAACACATGTAACAAAAGGAATGGGTATTGAAATGAATGACCAGAACAGGGGATCTCGGAGAAATCAAAAAAAAAAAATCCCCCACGTGGCCCCTTTTATGCAGCCATCAGTAGGATTGCCATCCCAGACGACTAGACTTCCAAGAACCCCCCAGGAGTTATCATAGCCTAGACGAAATTCCTAAACCATTCACCTTTGGTCTAACCGTGCCAAGGTTCCTGCCGATTATATAACTGCTCACAGTTGCGAATGTTGCAGCACGTCTACGACTTGCCTAATAGCTCAAGAGAAGATTCGCGCCTACAGTAATCCAAACCAAAGTCCCACCACCAAGATTATGGAGCAAGCGAGCAAGCGACCTTGGCACGGTTACCCAACAGCCACCTAGCAAGCAATGCACCTCACATTTCACCCACCATCACTCTCTCCATTAGCAACCTATCATAACATCCCCCACAGACCATATCCCCACAAACAAGCTCAAACTTTACTGCGCACCTCCGGCAGCTTGGACACAGCTCCTCCTTTCTCATCCCATTGCCCCTGACCTCTGGTTTGGATGCGGCGCCGGATAAGAGCGGGGGGAGCATGCCCCCAACAGCCCTCTCGGGATTACTTTCCACGGAGTTTACTTGGCGAAGAATGTGCTCACGAGGCATTCCTGCAATAGGCGGTTCTGGGACACGTCTTCTGGAGCTCGAACCCTCCCACAGAGAAGCGTCTGCTCCACGTCCCAACCCCGGAGCTGAGGAGGGTCTTTTGAATGGAGATTCCGAAGGCGGGGATAACAACCTCCTGGCTGGGGTTCTTTCCCTACTATTTGGAAAGCACGTAGACTTTGAAAGTGATTGTGTCAGCTGTGGGGTTGTTGGCCGTTTCCTCTCAGGGGTTGCTGGACGTGAGGGTCGAGTTACCCACTTGAGTTTGGAAGCGATTGTTGGAGACCTGGGACCTTCAGAGAGTTCACGAACCCAAATTCTTGGGGCATGTATGCGCTCGGGAAGCTTGCTTTGCCCCTTCATTAGGAAAGGCTTTCTCTCTGTTGTTGGGCATTCATAAACTTTGTGCTGCCTGCGTTCCGGAATTCGCACTGACTTCGGTCTCGGCTTCTCCACCGTCTCCTCTTCCGCTTTTTGCTCCCCCACCTTCGTCCCCTGCTCTGTCTGCACCTCTGGCCTCTTTTGTTCTTGTACCTCCTCTCGTTCCTCCATATTTTCCGGTCCCAAATCCCGTGTCTCATCCAGGTTCTGGGTAGTCCCCTGGGCTAACAGCACCTCATCTCGCGCCTTGGTTTCGATCGGTGAGTGTGGCGTTTCCTTCCTCGCAGGTATCCCAACAGTTACCTTGGGCTCATCCAAAGAAAACCCTCCTTCGCCGCCTTCCTCCCCATCACCATCCTCACCCCCCCGCCCGAAATGGGGTACACCAAACCTCATGATCTCGGGCCCCTTCGGCGCCTCGAGCTTCAAACGCATAACCTCAGACGGCAAAAGTGGCTTTGGAGTTGGCTTCCACGCACCTCTTCCGCGCACCGGGACTTTCGGGCTCTCGCTCCTCCGATCCCCGTTGTTGTTTTCTAAAACTTCGTCGTTACCTTTAGCAACATGTGAAATGTTTGTGGGTGCCATTTTCTTGATTTGTAGTGTGTGGAGTAAGTGATCTCTGTGAAGATGGGAACTAGTTGGCACATTACGGATATAGCTTGACTTTGTAACTTCAAAGTCGGAAGTTATTCAAGAGGGACCCTATTGAGTGTTTTTAACTTAGTTAGAGCCCTGGTTTTCAGCCCTAGAATATTGGAGGCTCTCAGGCATCCCGTATGCCCTCCTAGTGATCCCTGGTGGAGGTGCTTATCTGCCAAAAGCGTGTCTCTCGAGCCACACAGGGCGGGAAGAGGTCTCGGAGCTAGGGCTTGGGCGGTAGTTCAAGTTTCCGTGCCGTGGGGTTGAATCGGCCTGAGGAAAATGTAGATCTAGATCTTGAATAAGCCGGGTATGATAGGCCCGGTGAAACCTAGTCCTAGACCCAGAAATACCATAGATGGCAATCTTGAAATGCAGCGGTGGAACTTGCAGGAGCGCTATTCCCATAGCAAACGGGGAGCAATGCAGAGCCAGGATTGTCATGCCCTCTTGTTGGTAGCGTGCTATTATGAATAAGCTCTCTAGATCAAAAGAGAGCATATTTTACAGGAGGCCCCCCTTTGGCCAAGACCTTTGGGACACAATATTTAATAGCGGAATTGCAGTTTTCAGTCTCAAATTTTAGTGTAAATAGCATCAGTGTGATATCATGCCCGAAACTAGCTTTTGTCTAGGGCAAGGGTTCTAGTTCAAGATATAGTGTGCGCGGTAAATTAAAGAAATTATAAAGTGGAACTACTCGTGCCAAGGTTGCAGCTAGGGTGCTGCAACCCCCAAAAATTTGCTGGCTCAGTTTCTGGGGGCACTCATCCTGAGTGCCCAACAGCTCAGTCATTTTTGTGGCTCAACATCACTTTTGTGGCTCAATACTATTATTGTGGCTCAACACCATTCTTGTTATCCACCACCATTCATGTTATACAATATACTGTGACCTTCACAACTCTATGTAGTTTATAATTTTAAGTAATAGTGTAGTTCAATATATTTTAAAAGTATTTTTGTAATAAAATCAAGCCACCAGCAGGTGAAAAAAGGGTGTGTTCTCTATACATCTGAGGCTTGTCAGATAATAATGAGGAAGGAAGAGTTACAGGTTGAAAGGTTGAGCAGCAGCTATGAAGGACTCAAAATGCCAGAGACAGAGCTGAAAAAGCAGCATGTAAGCTACTATTAAATGAGTTTGAGATATATATCAAACAGGCAGAGGGAATCAAAAAATACTATAGAGACTCAGAAAATATCAAAAAATTTAATGATAGTGGCAGCCATATTAAGTAGCAGGTTATGTTTGAGTAACATGAATAATGGAGAGCAGAAAATATTGTGTTGAGCTACAATAATAGTATTGAGCCACAAAAGTGATGTTGAGCCACAAAAATGACATTGAGCTGTCAGGCACTCAGGATGAGTGCCCCCAAAAACTGAGCCAGCCAATTTTTGGGGGTTGCTGCGCCCTAGCCGCAACCTTGGCACGAGCATGTATGCTATTGCTTGGCACTTGACCCTTCTCCCATTCTTCTGTTCGGGTTATTTATCATTGCTTCCGTATTGGGGAGTGGCCTGTGATTATTTTGTGATCTAGGGTACGAGACGTATTGACTCAGGCCATTTCTCACACCCGAACACTTTTCAGCAAATAGCTGGTCATCCATTCTCACTCGTGTTCTTGTCTAGACTGGTGAAAGCGGAAGTCAGCACTTGCAACACCCCATATTGCTGTGATATGATACCCAAACAGAACATCAGCAGCAGCAACGGCCGGTGCACGGTTCGGCACAGTATCATACAGCCTCCTTTATTCTAGGGGTCCGACATTCCGCCCCAGTTCTCATCCCTACGCATTCCTGCGATTAGTGCATCGAGTCCCCGACACTCCCATCGTTCCTGCAACCCCGTGCCCACGGCCATCCACATAGCAATACCGTATTATATCGTAAATTTAAGGGGGGTTATGGGCTCACGGAATGACAAATTTACTGCCGTCAGACTCGCCACCATCCTTGGTCCTCCTCCTCCGTTTGGGAATCCATCCTCAGACGATCTAGCAAGAAAAGAAAAGTGGCGCGTAATCGGGTGTAAAGGGGTGCTTACTGGTGAGCTGCCTTTTTTTTAGTTCATGCACTGGCATGTCTACAGTATGATACCAAATTTGAACTCTAGCAGGGTGTCGAATTCCGGATTTTCTTTTTCTTTTTCTTTCTGTAAACTGTCATGATGGGGGTTTCCATAATGGTAGAACCGAGTAAGTAGGTCGACCCGTTCGTAGGGCCTTTTTCAATGTTCTAAACACATTGAAGGAGTATTAGGCATTTAGATTCCTAACCGATTCCAGCACAATTTCGCACGACACCCTCTCGCCCTTGTCGGTGTCTTGCCTGATTCTCAATCTTGCGAGAGGGTTCAGGAAATGCTTACGGAATGGCGGAGAAACCCACGGGGTGTGTCAAGCTTGGGCAGTTGGTATCGTAAATCGCCAGATTCGATCTAGGAACCGCAGGGAGGGGTGTGGCCTGGGGATGCCGCTAACCCCTGGCAACTTGAACAGGAGCGGGAAGGGGGTCGTTCGGGTGGGGACCGATGGATAGTGATGGATAGGTACCTAAGATTTCAATGTATACTCCTGTATTTTTCTTTCTTTACTCCGTTCTTCTGCGGTAACAAAACGAGCCCCAAATTTTTCCACTATATATTGATGAGTGTATATATATATATATATGCTAGAGGGGGGCATCCACTTGCTGAGAGATCTAGGCTTTCACATCCCCATGACAGCCTCCCGTTTGATTTGCGGGAGTATTTGGGGGGTTGGGGAAGTTATGTTAGCACCACTGTATCGACGGGGGCTAACTTGAAGGAGTCATCAAGAGAAATCCACATCCGTAACCTCGCGTCACCATCCATTAGCCAACTGTAGTACCGCTAACGAACCGTCCATTATGCAACACCTACGGTAGTGCCGCCGGGAGAGGCCCATAGAGCACCATCAAGCCATCCCCAAGCCAGCCCCATCTCGGAAGTACTCCCAGGGAGCGTTACTCGATGCTGGAAATATCGTATGTGAGGTGAGCGATTGAATTGGAACTTGGGAGATCACAGAGCGTGAGAAGAGTATGTATCTAAGGTGAATCCGAGAATTGCTATTTCTCTTGTGCACCAGGCAATGGTACTTATACTTCAGAGAGGCATCTATATACAGTGCTAATGAGACCAGTTGTCACTATGCCTGACCAGATACGCTCCCGTCACATTGAAGCCATTTTCCCAACACTTGGCGGCAGTAGATATCGAGTGAGAATATGTGAAAGAACCGCATCAATGAGTGCACTTGAGAACAAGGAACCGGAGGCGAAATTAGGAAGAGGCTGTAAAGATGGAGAAATATACAGAGATTTTATATATATACTGCATCATACAACTTTATCATAGATGACCATCTTATAAAGCAAGACTTCTAGAGCACGAGTGCTTTAAGATTAGTGTTTTTTTCTATTGTAGCCTACCCCCCTCCTGTACCGGTAGTTGTGAAAAGTACCGGGTCTCCCTACACCACTCTAAAGATTTTCTAGGAGTATTGGCACCATATGCTTTCGCAAAAGTCGCCCCGGAACGGATCCACCGAGGAGCCTTTTCGCTACCTGCTTACCGGTACTCGAGTGAAGTGTGGCGGTTGGGAGTCTTCTTGCCCGCTGGTTAGCTAGCTAGCTAGCCTGCCCTTAGCTCCAATCCAACTTTTACGGAAAGATGCGATATTCTTCCTGGGCAGAAAGCAGAAGAGGATGCAACCCGTTATCCCTTAATTCGCTGTACATACTGTATTGGCTCAACACGCGCGTTACCAGCAGCTATGTAAGTTAGGGGAATTGGGCTCCTGCTTGATCGATTATATGCGGAGCAGGGTCTGTGATGATAGAGAGGAGAGAGAGGAGAAAACAAATAAAATTTCCAGGAAACAGTACGGGTATTTTCATTCTCTCTGAAATGTGGATTGGCAGCCATTGGTTGGAGATTGGCCAATCATGGCCCTGGCATGTGTCGCATATGGATTACGTAAGCTGGGTTAGGGTCATGCTATTGGTCGGTTCTCGGACCCTGGCTGCCGAACCAACATTTTAGATTGACTTTGGTCGCGGGAGAGACGGTTCCTTGGCTCATCTCCCAACAATGACACCATCACCAAAGTGCTACATATCCGTGCACAAATCGCCAGAGAAAACAATCTTACCACATCCATTCAATCATCTTGTTGACCTCTTGCTCCCGACGGATCTTTACCGGCTCATATCTAATGACTTGGAATCGTCACCCTCGCTATCTAAGCCACTGCGATGGCATCGAATGTCGATACCTCTATCCGTGATAGTGGAGACTGAATTTCTTACAAAGTATATAAAGACAGGTTTGTGCTTTTCTATCGAGACACCCGCCTTTTGCTAACGGGGTGAAAGGCAATGTTATAATGCTCTCCAGAGGCCGAATCGACATTGACAATGTCTTCTCACTCAATGACGGGATACTCCGCCTTTCGCTCACGAAGGAAGCATACGAGAGAGCGGGCTTAACCGGGCGGCCTACACGCTTCGGGAATACCGGTCCTAGGAAAAAACATAACCGACATCGTAAAGCTCCCATCTTCGTCCGCTACCCATTGTATGCTAACTTGTCTAGTGGTTGAAATAAACCTCCGTGACCCAGCTATGCTCCATGGAAAGAAAGGCTTCGACCGCATAGTCTGGAGCTTCCAGAATAAACTCAATAAGAAGGTCGATTTCTTGTTTTGCGATTTAGATCAGCAGAAAAATCATATAGATTGTCCGATACTCACGGCATTGGGGGCTACTTCCCGACAGGTTCAAGTCCCCGAGGTGACTTCGTCAAGTTTGGTCAAAGTGCCTTCTTTCGATCCTCCGCCAGGGTCGGTGCCACAGGGCGGGGGGGCAAGTCTCGGGGCGGAATATAATCGGGAGGTATGGAGGGATTGGGCGATGCATGTCTATGAGTGGCTCGCGCTGGCAAATCTGGGTCCTGCCGATCGGGTTATTGCGGGCGATAATATCGATCCCTATCTGTCTGCTTATGCCGTCGATCAGGGAGAATATGAAGGAGAGGCAGGCATGGGTCTAACTAGAGTACGATTTCGGGGGATGATCCCGGCCGGTTGGATTCTGAGCGTTTGGAAGGCTGTTGAGTGAGTTGTACCCGAGTCCTTTGTTTGATATGTTTGAGTACTGATGGACCTTGAATAGGAAACTGGTAGAAACTGTTTCTGTTGGGAGCAGGAAGGAATGGTTTTCATTGACTGTTCATGGGCTTGAGAATTCGCCGATAAGTTGGGATAAATCTGCTCATGGTTCAATGACGGGCGGCGAGAATGGATACACCCTTCTTAGCGTACCGCAGAAAGATGAAATCAACGCGGAATGTGCGAAAATATTAACCTTTGAAGTCGTTGGAAGCCAGGATGAGCATTCATGATCTATGCACAATATTATAGCTTTAAAATTCTGTATATATATCATCAATATCCTATGACCGATTTCGCGGAATTATTTCCCTGCCTGGAATCCCAATCTTTTATGAGTTGCATGACTGGTCTTGTCCGGGGAAAAATAGGCGCACAGAGTTTAGTCTCCGAGTATTGGCCAGGAAAATGGTTTAAGCGCGTTGCAGCGGCGAATCCGCGACCGCCTATGCGGCTCTATTGATGACACGCGGCTTCAGCCAGACCAACCTTGAAACCAAACATCCAAAACTTCCCACCACCCATCCATACGCTTAACTTACCGCGAAGACAACCGGCTCACTGTTTAGCAGCCAACCACAAACTTCACTCCGTCACATTCCCGTAACCCATCTCGATGGCCAACAACGGATACGACGTCGTGGTAGACGTTGACGATGAAGGCGATCTCGGACACACAGACCTTGCAGACCTAGAGTTCCACCCCTCCAGTAGGAAACCTCAATAGCTCTAGGAGCTTCAGCATAGCTAACTTTCCAGACTATAATCAAGACCAAGCTAGTGGGAAGATACCTACCAGCGCTTCGAGTTCGTCTCTCCTGTTCCGGAACTCACCGCGACATTAGCTCACTCTGATAGATACGGGCGGCTTCTTCGGTGGCTCCTCCGGTTCTCGCGGGAATGACCCGAACAGCAAGAGGTTCCTCTGGAGCATGGATTTTTATGCCCAGTTCTTTGACGTCGATACGAACGAGGTTCTGAAGAGGTGTTGGGCAGCACTATTCCCCCGGGCGAACTTTTTGGATGTGTTGGATGGTAATCCGGATCTTTACGGTATGGTCATGGAGGGTCTAGTGGTGGTGGGCGGGTGGTGGGCGGGTAGCTGATGGTTGGTTTGGAGGACAGGCCCGTTCTGGATCACCACTACGGTGGTTTTGATCTTGTTCCTCAGCTCAACGATTGCGCAGTACTTTGCTAGGGCGAAAGATGAGCCCTACGTGTACGACTTTGGCTTGCTTTCTGGTATGCCCACATCAAGCGATCATCTTGTATAGAGTTTGCGCTGATGGGTGATTACAGGTGCTGCTGGGCTTATGTATGGCTACACGGGTACGTTCAGAGCCCGCTCTGCTAAACGGGCTTTCGAGACTGACGAGTTTAGGTGTTATTCCTGTGGCACTGTGGGGTATTTTGAAATGGTATGGGAGTGAATCCGCGAACCTCTTAGAGTGTCTCGCGCTCTACGGATATGCCAATCTGATCTGGGTTCCGGTCGCTATCGCTTCCGCGTCTCCAATTACTAGTAAGTCTTCAGGATTTCAACGTAATCATCTGTCTCTTTTGGTATTAATATAAGCAGTCCTAAATTACGTGTTTGTGACTATCGGATTCGGGGGTTCGGCCTTATTCTTATTTCGCAACATGTAGGGGTTTTTTTTGTTCCACCAGTTTCCGATGACAAGAACTAAATGTAGGAAAATAGGCTCCCGGTAGTTAATGCAACTGATGCGAAGACCTCCAAGATCCTTATTGTCATGATCATCGTGCTACATGCAGGGCTGGCAGTGGCCATCAAGGTCTTGTTCTTCGCGTATGTCCCCTCACGGCTCTCCTGAAGGTATCATACTTGATAGCTAACGATCCGATAGCCACGGTAGCCCTGTTTCCAAGAAGCCGGAAGCGCCAACGGGTGATGCGGGTAGGCTAAGGATTTTCTAAGGCTGGAAAAAAGTATGGCTCTGGGTGAGAGAGGTATATCAGGTACCGCACTATGATTGGGTTTTCTTTTCTTTTCCTTCTCATTGCGTTTTTATGGGTTTGATGTGTATATGTAAAATTTAAAATGCAGAACGAATAATCGCGACAGTTCCTCAAGTGTAGAAAGTGAATTCTTATCTGCCGATTCTACGACGCGGTTTGGCTTGACCTGGCGGTTCCGAACGTGTGCATGGCCACGGTGGTACCCAGATATGTATGCTGACATTGGCCAAGGGCGTTTTCGACTGTGTAACTGAATCTGCAGGTTTTTAGTACTCGTATATCGGTGCTCGGGTACAGTGCCCCAGCACGTCTCCAGGGGGGGGGGCGTCCGCATTTCGGCGCGCAGTGACTTGTGACAGCATAGGACTGCGATAACCCTTGCTCGGGATGTTTCCTTCTTTTGCCTACCAGTAAGCTGGGGCCAGGGGGGGGGTTGGTTTTCCTATGATATCTTTCTTCTTCCCTATCCAAAAGGAGGAATTTTTGGCGCCTTGAAAGACTCGGACAATCTATTACGGTACCCTATTCTGCAGATATGGTACCGGCCAACCGAAACCTGCCCTCCACCCATACCGGTAGTTCTCTCAAAATCCGAACATATCATACTGAATTGTCAGCTTTTGGGAAAGGGCCCCCTTTAAAGGCTTCGGTCATCCCCATCTTGTGCGAGTACCTATGTTAATGAATTCAAAATCAATGACTCGAGTTATGCTGCAGGGGGCTATTTGGTGAGGGGAGCAAAATCTCCAAATCTCATTCAAACCGCAACTCCCCGCATGACATTTTTAGGTGGATTCAAAAGCCGTAGGCCTTTTCCAATATATTATTTAAATACAAGTAGCTTTACCGGGGTAATTGCGTTCCACTTCCGCCATACTTTTATGCCTTTAGTCGGGTATGACTTGCAGTCATTCTAATTAATTTACTTGAGCACAATCCAAACAAGATGGGTACTTGTATCATGGCCCCCAGGTGCCACCTACTCGCACGGTACAAGTACTCGTACTGTATCACATGTTCGACCGGGCGAGCCATCTCTACCAGTGCTCGAGTATAAGATCAGCTCTCGGGCCACGGTGGCCCCCATTAACCGGTATTCGCAATTCTGCTGGCCCGTCGGGCTCATCCTGCCGTGGGCTGACGGACCGATTCAGATGGATAATCGGCGAGATTCCACGGTATTGCTTGCTTAACTCATGATGGGATTGCTCCCACTACCGGCACCGTATCTCGAGTACTGTCTCCTCTCTTCGCCACTGCGCTTGCATGCCAAGTGTGCCACCATGTTGTGTCACCATTCCCTATCCAAGCATTTGTCTGTTAGAGCGTTTTCGGTGAGACAAGGAGCTGCAAAGTGCAGGGAATCAGGTGCAGTTCTGGGCCCCCAAAGGACCGGTACGTAAATTGCCATGGATTCCACAGGTTAACTTACCGTACCGCTTGCTTTTCGGGTTGCAGAGCCAGCTTCTCCTTTGCCCACTCCCGACAAAGTCCCTTGCAATGGCATAGTGCTACAGAAGCACTCGTACTGTACTCGAGTACAGTACCGGTGGGATACCCGGAAAATAGAGCCTTTGATCGCCTCCCCTTGCAGAGCTCGCTTACGAGAACTGGGCACTAATTGGGTTGGATGGATAACGGTAGACATACTGTACGTACAGTACTTGTAACTTGGGTAAGTGCGTCATGTCAACGGCAATCTGGCATAGCGCAATAAAAAATGGAGGAAAACATGGTCCCGTCACCGATCCCAGCCAATAGAATGGGTTTGGGGCTTGTTGTACAAGGATTGGGCTGACCTACCGTTTGTCTGTCCTTCAGCACAGTTATCTTATCCCGGCTGATCCCTCCTTCATCCGTGTGCACTTTGTGTTCCCTCCCACGATACGGGGACTCAAGTTTGCTTCCCTTCCTGCTCCCCCCTTCCCTTCTCACTCCCCTCCCCATTCTTCCTTGCTCACCATCTTTCTCCACCAAGGGTTCTAATGCTCTCGGATTGGGCCATCATGGTGAATCTCCGTTCATTGTTGGGCAGCAATGATGGTGCTGGACGGGATACCACCGATGACCCGAGGGAGCATTTATTGCCTACCCATCGGGGGGAGCATCTTCACACTTCGGTACCGGCAAAGAGGTTTGCCATCTTGCCTTGCTTCTCCCCCCCCTTTCGAGGGTGAACAAACAGCTGACCCGAACTCCCCAACCCAGCGTTACCAAAGTTGCATTGAGACTTAAATTCCTGTCTGCCTCCTTCCTCTGCATAGCAATTCGAGAAGGTTTCTCTGACAGCCTCTCAGCATCGAAGCCGCGGTTCCTTGCGAGCTAAAAGAATCGCACATCACGCGCCCTCACTCGCAGATCATAACCAAGCAAGTGGTTCTTCTTGCACAGGAGGCTGCTGGTGATGAGGATAGAGCATGTGTTGTCTACTGCCTTCTCGTTTGCCTCCGCTGGTTCAAGCGGCAGGCTCGGCTCGAGATGTACGATGCGGGCTTGTACTTGCTGAGAGCCGAGGCTTGCCAGGTCATCTCCAAGCTCATTATAGAGGACACCCCGGACAATGAATACTTGTTTCAGGAGGTGCTGCTCAAGAGGTACAGCATTTTGAGGAACGGGCAGGAGAGCGCGCCTGCTAATGGTTTGTGGAGTCTTCCGTTCGAGATGGGGACCAGGCTGACTGGTTGCTCCTAGCTGTTGAGCGAGCTGTGGACCTTCATGCTACCAGAGTCATTGGGTCTTCGGGTTACCAGAAGGCAGGTATGTTCTAGCTGCGGGCGATCTAGCTTGGCTAACAGTCGCAGTGCATCAATTATCTTTGGAGGGGTTGGGTTGCCCAGGATCTAAATGATCCGACCCAATTCTGTGCCTACAAAGGCATCGCTGAAAAGGGCTTTTGGGCCCACTTTGATCATGACCGCCTCCGTACCCCTAAATACCAGAATGCCTTTCAAGTCCTCGTCTCTGTGATTTACCTGATCCTGTACACTTTTGCCATCAATACCGTTAACCCCACCGGTGATATCGATGTCGGGGAAGCTTGTCTTTACCTTTTCACTGCGGCCTTCGCAGCAGATGAAATGACCAAGTTCTGGAAAGTTGGAAGATTTTACCTTACTTTCTGGAACACCTTCAACTTGACTCTCTACTCTGCTCTTGCAGTCTCTTTTGCGCTTAGGATTGTTGGATTCTCCAAAGCTGCTGGCAGTGACGAACGGGGATATTGGGATCTCATGTCCTACAACTGGTTAGCCTTTGTGGCGCCGATGTTTTGGGCACGGATGCTACTATTCTTGGATACGATCAAGTTCTTCGGAGCCATGCTGGTCGTCTTAAAGGTCATGATGATGGAGAGTTTGATGTAGGTTTTCTCCTCATGGGCTGGTGGGAGGGTGGGCTAACATTATAGCTTCTTCGCACTTCTCGTGGTCATTATCATTGGGTTCCTCCAAGGGTTCATTGGCCTGGATAATGCGGATAACAAGAGGGATACGTCCGTTTTTATTCTCGAGTCTATGACAAAGGTCATCTTGCAGAGCCCCGAGTTTGAAGGGTTTGACAACTTTGCTCGTAAGTGGATCGGCTCCTCTGTGTTTTTCGTACCTGAATTAACCTGGGACTCGACTAGACCCATTTGGGATCATCCTCTATTATCTATTCACCTTCGTGGTGATGGTAATTCTCCTAAACGTCCTTATCGCCTTGTACAATCAAGCGTACACGGACATCACTGAGAATGCTGTTGATGAATACTTGGCGCTGGTGGGTCACTTCTACAACCCACCCGAGTGCGGGATCTCTAACTGATTACCATAGTTTGCGGGTAAAACGCTTCAATTCGTTCGCGCGCCGGATGAGAATGTGTTCCTTCCCCGTAAGTTGCTTTTTACCGTTTTCCTCTTTGGATTCGTGATCTAATGATTGCATGACACAGCGTTCAATTTGATTGAGATATTCTTCCTGGTTATACCTTTTGAATGGTGGATGGAGAGGAGAAAGTATCAAAAACTCAATGACTACGTTATGACTGCCTTGTACAGTCCTTTTATGCTACTCATTGCATTCCTTGAATCAAGAGAGGCTAGCCGTGTTTCAAGGAATAGGGCAAGGGGGGAGGAAGACGATGACGCCGTCGAAGAATGGGAAGAAATGGAGGAGGAGGATATCTTGAGTGAGGGGTGGTCTGAAAAGGTTGAAAAAACGGTTCCCAACATTGAGGAGGATCCAGCTATCCTCGAGATTAAAGGCTTGAGGTCTCATCTCGATCAAGTGACTTCTAGTTTGAGGGCGCGTGATGTTGGTGGCAGCACTGATGAATCTCCCTGATATATAGTGGGGATGGGACATGAAAAAGGCTTGACGTAGTATGGATCATGATGTTTGAAAGGTTCCTTATTCTTTTTTAAACAGAGCAACATCTGAGTTTTTTTCTCTATCTTGTTTCTTTAGCTTTCTTATGGGGATGTCTGTAATGTGTTGCGGCACCCTCGATGAGCGTTGGTGGAAATGATCACTCTGCTACTTTATGAAGCGAAAATACGGATAGGAACAAGACCAATGCTTTAGCGTGACATTCTAAATCTGATGCGCATACCGGTAATTTAGAAACCCGCTCCCCAGAACCAACAAACCAAGACATCGATCCCCTCTTTCCACTGCCGCCCCACCCCTGCTTGCTTCCCCCAATAATCAATCGAGTCGAAGATCCGATCCACGGCCCGCCGATCCCCAGCCCAAACGTAAACCTCACGTGTGCTCTGCACCCACCGCATCTCATGCCGCATCGCAGTAGCCTACTCGGGTAGTCTGCTCGAGCACTGGTAGGGCGCGGTGGGCGGTGCGCCACCGGGTGATATTGTGTTGGATAAATGGGAAAAAAAGAAGAAAGGAAAAAAAGAAAAGAAAAAAAAACCTAGCCATCATGGTTTAAACTATACCAGGTTCGGCGCTTTCGTCAATCAATCATTCTAACTCCGCGCTTTTCGGGGGCTAAGTCGGGGGAAAGAAGAAGTATACCACAGTGGATAAGGAGAAAAAGGTTGATAAGAAGAGAAGCAGCGAAAAGGAAGAGGAGGGAAAAAGGGATATGGATGGATGGATGGAAAAATGGAAAATGGAAATACGGTGAGAGACTCAAGGCACGGGTTTATGTACAAGTGAAAAAAGTAATGTATAACAGGATGGTAAGATGGAAATGTTAATTTTTGGTACCCCGTTTTTGTGTCGTTGCGTGCGTTGTATGAAGTGTATGATACCCTCGGTTTTGTGAGAGCGTGAGAGGTGGGTGAAGGTTCGGTAGGTGGGTAGATGTGTATGCGAGGGGGCGATGTGGGTAATGAGCCAAAGTGAGTAGTAGAGCTCCACCTCTCCCACCTCTCGGAACAAGTCGAAGTACCCCCCTGAAGAAAAGAGGGGGAAGTAAAAATAAAAATAAAAAAAAGGTGAAGGTGATATCCTCTTTGGTGAACCAACTAACCAAGTAAACATGCCGTAGCCTACACAGCCTGAACTAAACAAAAACAAACTTTTATCCCATCCCCAAACTGCTTAAGCGCCAACCCCCTCCTTAAGCTTATAGGTCCGCTTATCCGTCGATACACTGAGTCTGCGAAGACTGGAAATGAGCCCCCTCTTGACTTCCTCATTCCGAACGCGGTTCTTAAACCTGTCCGCAATGAATTTCAGCGTTACACCTTCGGGATTGGAGGATAGGACTGTGCGGATTTCAGCATCTGTTATGAAATCTATTTGCTTGGTGTTAGCGATCTACTATCCTTCCGGCCAAAAGAATTGGGGGGGGTGGAGGTAGGGATGTGTACCTGGAGGCCCGGGGGGGCCCATCGCCGCCGGAGCACTTGTATTACCAGTGCCAGCGGTAGCAGCAGGGGAGCCTGCGCGCGATGCCCCAGGAGTGCCCTGTCTTGAAGCAGCAGCTGCCGCCGCAGCAGGTGAGAGCGATCGCCCGCTAGTGGTGACCTTGATCCTTTGCTTCTTACTTCCTGGCCCGTCTGACGTCTCACCGGAGCGCTCATCACCACTACGTGCTCCGGCGGGCGCATCTGCTTTGCGCTTCTTGTTGCCGGCTCCTACGCCTGGTGGCGGCGGGGAAGGAGATGGAGTTGAGGAAGCAATCTGAGAAAGACTCTCGCTAGCAACTTTGAGCTTGACAATGCTCTTCTTGTCCGTGCCACCCAGGATGGGGAGGGTTGTTGATTTCCCAGTGGCGTTGTTGGCGGCAGTGTTCTTTTTCGGCTTCTTGCGCGACTCGGTGCCCGACTCTGGGTGCGGTGATGTGCCTGCACGTTTGAGCTGAGGTCTTTTATCACTGGGTGGGAGAGGCGTACCGGCTGGGTGCTTGTCCTTCTTGTTGGCTGTGGTGGGGTGTGGCGCTCCGGCTGCGCCGCCTGTGGCCTTGGGTTTTGGCTGCGAGGTGGTGGTGGTGGTGGTGGTGGCGGCGGAGGGGGTTGCGGTGGAAGCGGGAGTGCCAGCAGGGGGAGTTTTGGACTTGCGGAGATCGGCTTTTTCCTTCTCGGCTGCTGCCTCGGCTTTCTTACGCTCCTCTTCCTTTTTCTTTTCCTCTTCTTTGCGCGCAGCTTCTTCCTCGTCTTCGGAGTCCTCGTCACCCTGGTGTTTTTGGCCGTGTTTAGCTTGGAGAAAGGAGTGAAGCGGACGAGATAGAGGAACAGAAGGTAGCTTACAGTTGTCCCGTATGGGTTTGCATCCGAGTCGGACTCGTATGTGAAGTTACCCTCGCGGTTCATCAATGCTTTCTTCACCTTCTTGCCGTGCTTGCGGCGGACCTCTTCAAGCTTTTTCCTCTCCAGTTCCTCCTTCTCCCAATCACGTTCGTCACGGGCGTCGAAGAAGTTGGCGGACAGTTGCTCCTTTTTGATACGTTTCTATAGAGCACCACATCAGTAATGCGTAGAAACGTGTAGAGTTCAATCAAGTAACCTCGATCTCCTTATTTTCCTGCTCCTCCCCCTCCATGATAGGGGCCTCCTCATCGTCGGCAAATTGGTCGTCTTCGAAATCCAAGTCGTCGTTGTCCGCCTCTCCCTTCAGCCTATCACCTTTCCTAGTGAAGAGGGTTTTATTGGCTCGAGCATTCTCTTCCAACTCCCTCTGCTTGCTCTCCTTCTCCTCGGCGCGCTTCATCAACCACCTAGGTGGTCGGGCATTCTTCTTCATTTCGAGTTCGGCCTCTTCAGACGTCATGGTGGGAAACCTGTTCTTTTCCTGAAACTTGTACCATTTCTCGATCGGAACCATCCTGAACGCACCTTCCTCCAACACGAACATGGCGAAGACGCCCTTGCTCAACGAGCTCTCAAGCTGCCCCTGCCAAGTATTCTTGTTGTCAAAGTCCTCAATGAACCAGGGAAAAAACTCCTCATATCGCAACTTCTTCTCGGCATCATTGCTCTTGAAAACTTGCTGAGTCTTCTTATGGAAGACCTTCTGTTTCTGCTTTTGCGCACCACCAAACGGCGCAATCTTGTCCAGATTCGCTTGCTTCTCCGCATCCTTCTTCGCCTGTTCGGCTTCATCCTTCGCTTTCTCCCCAGCCTCCGCAGCTTTATTCGCCGCAGCCAACTGGTTCGCCGCCGCTTCCTCCTTCGCACCTTGAAGCGGCGCTCTAGGATCCCGACGGTGCAGCCTAACCGGACGAGTAAACTGCGTAGGATCGGTAGGGTCGATTTCGCGCTTCGATTGCATCCTCATGACGTGATGCCTCAACCCCTTCAACAGTGACGCTTTAGTAGTCGTGAGCTTGTATTCGTGCCACTCTCCTTCGTCGTCAGCAGCGATTGCGCTACCAGTTGCCGAGCTCGAGGGAGCGGTGCTTCGCGCAGTATTAGCGGGGGGTGCGGCGGTGGGGGGAGGTGGTGCTGCTGCTGGTTTTTGTCGATTCACTACCGCAGCACGAGGTCGCTTCTGTCGTTGGACCAGCGGGTTGGAATTTGCTTCCCTTCTGCGTGCGACCATTCGGGGGACAGGGCTACCAGTGGTGGGAGCGGAACTGGGAGCGGGGGAAGCCATGGTTGGTGAGGTGGTGGTAGTGGTAGGGGCTAAGCGGGTAGAGACTGTGTTGGTGAAGGTTATTTAAGGCGATGAGGGCTCAAGAAAACAAGCCAAGGGCTGTCCGCGTTTGAAGGCGACAGGCGACCTTTCGCAGAGTTTGCCCGGTCCCGATTGTGCCTTGGATTTTCGGTTGGGGATTCTGGTTCTTAAATAGCAGTCGTGGGTATTGTTATGATTGAGGGGTGTTTTGAAAGAGGTTGTGGTGGTGGTTGATGGTGCGAAGGCGAGCGATTGATGAGAGAACAAGGGAGAGGGGAGGACGCGGTTTAACTAGGCTTTTTCGGGCCCAATGCCAAGATCACGTGATGGATGACTTGCTATCATAGAAAGTTGCAAGGCTGAGGGCTTCCAACGAGGACCCTGAAATGGCTCACATCATACTATTATCATAATATCATACCAGTGTCATACCGTAGAATGGTGGTTGGGTAGGGGCAGCGGGCTTCGTCGATATCATAATACAAAGTCCACTCCTCGGCTTACGGCTGTGGAGGTAGCGTTTGACGCATAGTATGGAGCAATTCAATGGGGTCACGAGAATGGGTAGGTCGTGTGGTGACAATGGCAGCCTTGCGGGAGGGAAGTGCCTCTGCAACCCGTATGGAGGCTGTGAATTGAATCATTGCCTCAAGCTCTGCAATATGATGGAGGTATCATGCGTGCGGTACTAGCACATTGCCCGGCATCACAGGGAGTTGGGTGCAAGGTTATTGCGGATCTGCCAGTTAGGGTGGAGGGTAAGGATTTACCTGCAATCAAGTCGGTCCTGGGGCATAGTTTACACATCCCTTTTGAGTGTGATATCATACAATATCGTACAGTATCTTTCTCTGCACCGCGGATGCCGGTGTCGGTAGCCCGGAAGGTCCGGGAAACGGCGTGAATCCGGCTACTGCGAACAAGGGTATTTTGCGGGCGCTGTCTGGCTCTCCATGTCTCAATTTATCATACGGCGATCTTCCCAGAACCCTGACCCGCTGATCGCCGCTTCTGGTTGCCAACTCAATGGCAGAGCCTCAACCACAACTACCGGTGCCGCTTTCGACTCCTCACCCAACAACGAAACCACTGCACAGTCACATCCAACACTAAATGGCTCCCCACTCAACCACCATCGACACTGCCCACATCAAAGCGACCGCTCAGAAAGAACTTCTCGACCTCCTTGTTGCCGTGAGTCCGGCATCATCAACCTTGGCCTTTATGTGGAATCTCGCTGACCGTCTGTTCAGGTACGTGGGAAGAAGACACTCATCCTCGATAAATCGCTAAGCGGGCCCGTTGGCTTGTTTTGCAAACTTTCTGCTCTACAGGTACGTTGTCCCACCGCCCACGCCTGGGGCGGCCGAGTTATTGATAGCCGGACAGGATCATGGTATCGACAAGATATTTTGGGTAGAGGAGAATGTGGTTGCCGATGTCACGCAGAAGAATGTCGTATTCCTCGTACGGTGCACAGTCAGAAATGCCCTCGCTATAGCTGGTACGTTACCGGGACCGCATGAAGAAGTCTCATTTCCTTTCTGCCCCGCCCCGCATCACCTCCTGTGGGACATAAAGTAGGCTGTGCAACGCGCTCTCACATTGTACTGTCAGTCTTGCTCCCAAGATTTATTACGTCTTGATATATTAGCAATATATCGTTCCAGCCTGGACGCTACCACATACGTTACGGGTGAGGAACGATCGACTGACAAGCCCACAGCGCATGTCAAGAGCAATGCGAAGATTCCTGGTCAACAATTCGAATATAATGTCCTGTTCGTTCCCCGGCGGACACTCGTTTGCGAGAAGATCCTGGAGGATGAAGGTGTTCTGGGGGACTTGACGATCGGGGAGTTTCCGCTCCACTTTATACCCTTGGAGCCGGATCTCCTCTCCCTGGAGCTTGAAGATGCTTTCGAAGAACTATACCTCGTACGTCTCCTTTGAGCATCTGCTGAGGCACCCCATCTGACAGATTTTCCCGAGGCACCACTAGCGCAAGGATCACACATCTATCTTCTACTCTGCTCGCGCTCTTATGAACATACAACGTCGGTATGGGCTTTTCCCGCGAATAATTGGCAAAGGGGACTGCGCAAGACGCCTCGCGGATGCTCTGATACGAATGCGTGGCGAGGAAGATGCTTCGGATTCCAGTTCTAGCCCCTTTGCTTTGGCGCCAAGTAGTGTTCTTGGCGAATTGATTGTGGTGGATAGGGAGTCTGATTTTATGACTCCTCTACTGACACAGCTAACCTACGAGGGTTTGATTGATGAGACAATCGGGATTCACAACTGTAATTATTCTGGGGGTTGGTGGTGTCACTGTGGTTATGCTAACCAGGGTTCGGGATACAGCCAAGATAGAAGTAGACTCTTCGCTCGTTGGGGGCCCTCAGCAGTCAGGCGTTGCCACGGCGTCTTCTTCATCTGCCAGCCCTGCTGCCGCCTCATCGCAGCAAAAGAAAAGGCCGATACCCCTCAACTCGGAAGATAAGCTCTTTGAGAATCTTAGAGATACAAATTTTGCGATTGTGGGTAACTTATTAAACAAAGTTGCTAGGAGGTTGAACGATGATTATGAAGGAAGGCATCAGGCGAAGACGGTTTCTGAAATAAGAGAGTTTGTGGGCAAACTGGGGAGCTTGCAGCAGGAGCATCAGTCTCTGAGGCTGCATACAGGCCTAGCAGAGGAGATTATGAAACATACCAGATCAGATATCTTTAACAGGATATTGGAAGTTCAGCAGAGTAGGTCTTTCAACTCTCATTCCCCCATATCTCACTGACGGTTCGATAGATCTCGCAGCAGGAGTAGACCCATCCAGCCAACACGATGCGATAGAGGAACTAATCGCACGCAACGCGCCTCTTGAATCAGTCCTCCGCTTGCTCTGCATTGAGTCCCTTGTTGGCCAGGGACTGAAACCCAAAGACCTGGATAACTTCAAGCGAGAGATTCTTCAAGGTTACGGCTACCAGCACGTCCTTACTCTTGCCGCCCTTGAAAAACTCCAGCTCCTCCAATCTCGTACATCAATAACCTCCTCCACCTCAACCCGAACCAACTATGCCACCCTACGAAAATCTCTCAAGTTAATAGTTGACGAAGTAAACGAGCAAAATCCTGACGATATCGCATATGTCTACTCAGGATATGCTCCTCTCAGTGTCCGTCTCGTCCAGTGCGTTATCCAGAAACCCCTCATGACCCGTGGCCGACGGGGAGAAGACCCCTCAACACCTGCTGGGGCTGGTGCTACTGTGAATTGGGCTGCTACTGGCTGGCGTGGATTCGAAGACGTGCTTAAAAGTGTGAAGGGAAAGACCTTTGATGAGTTACAAAGGGGCGAAGAGAAGGCTGTTCGGGCCAGGAACCTACTTAACGGGGCGAACGAGAAGAGAGTTACGGTTGTATTCTTCGTAGGAGGGTGTACATTTACGGAAATTGCAGCGTTGAGATTTGTCGGGCGGAGAGAGGAGGGGAAGAGGGAGATTGTTATTTGCACCACAGGTATCATTAACGGCGATCGGATGATGAAGGCCGCTATGGAGAAACAATGAAGCAGTTTTGGGGCGGCAATGGTGATTTATGGGGAATTGGATCTGCATACAGTTGAACGACGGTTAATGACATATTTTAGCGGATGAAATTTAATATCATGAGTATCTTGGCTGCGCAGCTCGTCCATAAGTGGCGTTAGCAGCAGTGTTGCAAGGTGGAAATCAGCTTTCAGGTGGATTAGGAGCCCAGCGATGCAGACTCCTCGGGAGGCTGCAGGAACCCTGCCTCCCTATGGCAGAGGTTCTTAACGGAGCGTTGGGAGATCAAATGCAACCTTTTTTTTCCACATAATTGTGGAGTTGGGGTCTCGGAGATAGAAGGCGTATGCCCTATTCATTCGTGGAATATGGGGTGGGCGCAAGAGAACCCTCTGTACATCTCTAATATCTATGATGGGTTACCGCGGTATTGGCTCGAAGTTTAGTGGTTCCTTGAGGCAATAGAAAGGTGGAGCTCACGGTTTGGCAGTGGCTAGAGATTTTGGATTGGGTTATGAAACGGAACGACCCATATCGTGATTTCCATTCTGTCAGCTTTAGCGGCCCCCTGTTTGTCAGTTGTTGGTGGCATCGGCCTTTCGCCGTGTTTCGGAGCCATTTTAAATTCATTGCACTCCCTAACTCGGATCGTTTCTTCCGCCCTGATTTTTGGCATTAGGTTAACCTTTCTCCCATAATGCCATTTACCGCATCTCTTTTAGTCTCCCGGTTGCTTCGTAGGCCTCCCAATATCTCTAAACAGATCTGAAGTGTTTACGATGTTAGTTGATTCAAATGTTTGTTGAATCTAGTACCCGATAGGAAAAAACCTGTGCCAAGAATGATTGACACTAGGCTCGTCCCAAATATACTTGCTAACGGAATAGAAATTCTCCAGATGGTGTCCGTACTACGGTTGCTTGCCATAATAATTACAGACAACGAAGGAGATGTCGCATCCATCCTATTAGGGGGAAAGCCAATGCCACCTAAATCCTGTCCATGCAAATCCTCAATTCAAATTTACAGCCTATAACTAGTATAAAAGGAGCCTTATCAACCCTCCCCTCCTTCCCACTAGACAACACACAACTCCAAAAACATCCTTAACGACACTATCAAGAACAACCTCCCAAATCCTCTCATCATGACTAGCGGGACCGAAGAAGCGCACAACAACGACTCATACCCCCCAGAGCAACTTGCCGTTCCAATTCTTCCTCCCCATTCAGGCCAGAAAGGCTACTGGATGGTGCCGCTCCCTACCGCGCCGGGCCAACCCACCGAATGGGCCCCTGTGGTCGCATATGGGCGGGTTTCTGACTCCCAGCAAAGCTTCACCCCACCTCCTCCTTCGCCCACAAACCCCGAATGGGCCGCATTGGATAACGGAGACCCTATCCCTATCGATGAGTCTGCCCTATCCCTTCCTCCCTCTCCACAAGCTCCTGGCCCCTTGCCGCCAGTTGAGTGGCAGGTGATGGAAGGTGGCCCTAACCAAGGGAAGAAATATACCTTGCTCCCTCATCCCCCCGCTGCAACTGCTCCTGATTCCGCAGCGGGGAATCAAGGACATGCTCCGCTAGGTCTTGGCCAGGGAGTGGATTGGTTTGTCGTTCCGATCCCTGCTCCACCTGGGGACGGAGGCGAAGGACCGTCTAGTGCTCCTGCCTCGGGCGGTGAGGGCGGAGAGGTTAGCCCTAAAGTAAGTTGATTGCTCTTTTTTTTTGGATTTCTTTGGATATGCTAACGGTAATCTAGTGCTAAGGGCTTTTTCATGTAATTTCAGGAGGGGAGATACTCGAGCTTAGTTGTGGGGGCAAAAAGCGTGGGGTTGTTGGTAGATGGATGGCTCGGCAGGGTGAAGCCTTGGTATTTTTTATTAATTTCCTTGCTTATTTTATACCTAGGGTATATGTTGGTGTTTCTCAAATAGCCTCCATTATACCCGGGTATCCTTTTCAAAAAATAGTGTGCTAGGCAGGCGGTGAGATTCTGGTGTGACAGAATTCAATTTTACTTTTTATACACAATATACTAGCCCTACGACTCTACTCGTGATGCAGAAGCGTTTTTTTAAAAAAAGACTGGATCCGCAAGAGGTTTCGTGTGAGCTGCATATGAGCTCTAAGACAATAAGAGTGGGCAAAACTCACGATATTTCCCCAAACTCTAGTATAGTATCTGAGGTACCATGCTTTAAAACTGAGCGGGAGATCTAAGACAGCTATCTAAGAAGAGTTTAAACATAAAGACCGGAAATTGACACTGTTTTGAAAGGGATATCGGTTCAGAAGCAAAATCAATGACTATGGAGCATAGTATCTGGAACTCTTTCCCCAGAAATAATTTGATTTTTCAGCCAAAAGCTACCTCTAGCTTCTCCCTGATTGGCTCGACACTCACCGGCAGGTCTCATGCAACCTCCTGCGGACTCGGTCTTTTTTTAAAAAAAGCTTCGGCATTACGAGTATGCAAGTACGTAGACCGGGACAAGCGGTAGATCTTGTCAAATGTACTGGCTCGGGTGTGGTGTGGGGCGGTTCTCCTGTGGGGGCCTCATGACGCCCGAATCAGGCCTTCCACCACCGTGATGCTACCGCCCAGAGGGCTGCAGGTGCGGTGGGACCTCTAACTGGTCTCATAATCGCCTGCAGACTGGGGCTTGGCGGATAGCCATTTCTAGATAGTTTTCGCTTAGGCCGACACCTAAGGGAGCTGTAAGGAAGTGTCTTTTTTTTTGCTCTACCCTTTTCATTTTAGCGAGAAAAAGTAGGCATCCCCATACATATTCTAAACAATCTACGCCCTCTAACGGATTCAGGGATAGTTTTGGGGGACACAACCGGTCACTCGGAACGCAATACCAGAGAGTAGTCTTGGAATGGGGTAAGCCTCCAAGGTGTGTTACTTTAAGGTACTCCATTTGAGTCTTTTTTGAGCTAGGATGAGAGTGGAAAGCACCCCTATACATCCTCTAACTAATCTCCGCGCCCTGGGGGATTTAGGAACTTTATTGCGGCGACATGGCCGGTCACTCGGAAATTAAAATAGACATTCGTTCCCACGATGGAGTAAAAATCCAGGAGATCTTCTCCGGGTAGCGTTTCTCTTGGGCACATAGTTCCCTGGAGGGTGATAGGGTATCAGAGGCTTAGCAGGGTATCATACCATACCCGTCTCCCGTTCTGGCACCACCCCACAGCCGCACCTGGAAGTTGAAGGAGGGGCTGGGACCGACTCCCCCGCCGGGTAAAAGGAGAGCAGCAATTCCCTTCTCTTCTCCTTCTCTTCCTTCCCTCCCCCTCCCTCTCCAATACTCTTCCTTTCTCCAACAAGCTAGTCCATCGATCCCGGTATGTGAAGTTTTTCATTTCTTGTTCGAGCTCTTGCTAATCTGTATCGCTGTCCACCTGCTAGAAAAAGAAAATGACTAACAATTACTTCGGTACCACATACAACATTCATTACCATTTTCATAATGGCGCAGTGACCCAACCTGCCTCAGGAGGGTCTAACACCGCCTCCAACAAGGTCGCCTCGGAGGAGACCAAAGCCGCAAAGGCCGTCGAAGCGCCCAAGGAGAAAACTCCTGACTGCGTCTGGGTTCTCGGCCAGGGTTCTCCCTACTATGTAGTCCCGGCCTCTTCCTTCTCCCATGGGATTTTTGATCCTGCCGGCACCGGGAAGTTGGTAGTTGCCCAAGGCCCGCTTTGGGTGACCCCAGTTGTCATGGCTTCCCCGCCTGCGAATAAGGAACCGGCGAAGCTGAATGCATTTGGATTTTACGTATATTACCCCCATTCTCTACTTTGTTCCATCGGTGCGGTGACTAAAAGCAATGATAGATGTAAGATCCTGAAGCCTGAAAAAAAAGGTGCCGAGGCATCTTGTGTGGGGAACGTTGGGATTATTCTGTTGGGTCTTTGATTTGTTTTATTAAACTGGAGGGGGGTCATCGAGATGTGTTGCGTATTATATCTTGAGCAATTGATTATATCCCCTCTCTACTATTTCCGAGGCCGTAGCGAGCACAGTTTCCTTATCACGTGAATACTCAACCCTTACCCAAGTTTCAATTCTGCGCACCAGCGTCACAGCTTGTGATGTGAGCAGTGGCGACATACCCTGTCACTCGACCATGCAAAATCTACTGCGGGCTGAATTTTGGTTTTAATCAATACCCGGAATATGTCACCACAGGAAGAAAGTGTGGCATCAGAATCACGCTTTAGAAAGGACTAAAGCTAGTCCCTGTGTGATGCTGTCCTTTATCGCGCTAAACGCGGCCACTTGGGAGAACTGCCACTCCCGAACTATCACTTCTTAGAATCCCCTGTAGGATTACATACTAGATCAACAGCTTGAGTGCTTTCCATCTGTCGCTCTCTATCCGAACATAAACCTCAGGCATCTAGTGACTGAATTACTCATAATATTCAAATCCACCCTCCCTTTCTCAAGTTCTATCCGCACATATCCGCGTCACAGGTTGTGATGCGGATGGTTCCGACATGCCCTGTCACTCGGAGAAATAGAATCTACCGTGGGCGGGATTTTGGGCCCCTAAACCGGAATTTAGAAGGCGTTCTTGCAAGGCTAAGGGATTGTAGGGAGTGCTATTGAGAGACATGTCATCGTGATCGTGCTGTGGGATAATGAATCTGATCCGACTCTCAATGGTGGTCCTCACACCTCGACCGGGTTTAAAGGTGAGTTCGGAAAATGTTGATCTGCCACTAGCAAAACCGCCGATTGGATTCGCGAAACGGAAAACGAGTTTGAGGATTTCTTAAAAAAGGGTTGGATAATGCCAGACAGGCACGGAAGCTGTAATATGGGCTCTTAAAGGACCACGAGGCGGCTCAAGCACTCCAGCCTCCTACTTTCCCGCCATCATCTTTGGACTTTATTGAAGGGTTGGGCCCGACTCTGAGAGGATTCGATATCAGGCTACTAATTCCCATCTTTTCTTCTCCCCCTCTCTTCCCCTCTCCCCCTCCCTCATTTCTTCCTCCCACACCAACTCACTTCTAGTCCTACGGATACAGGTATGCTCAATTTAGCTCCTTGCCAGACTTCTTGCTAATCTATATCGTCCCACGAGGTAGAAGAAAAGATGACCGTCAACGCTTCCCATACTACCCACAACCATCATTACCATTTCTATAATGGCGCAGTCGTCCAATCTACTCCAGGGGGGTCCAACACCGCCTCCAATCAGGCCACTCAGGCACAATTCTTTGTTGTGAAGATCCCGGAGGGGACCAAAGCCGCAAAGGCCATCGAAGCACCGAAGGAAAAAGAAGCGCAGAAGGTGAAAACTCCCGACTGCTCCTGGATGTTTGATAAGGATTCTCTCTACTATGTTGCACCGGCTTCTTCCTCCACGGCAGCGGCTAGTCCCGCCACCAGTGCGAATAAGGGACCGGCAAAGATGAATATGGCTGGATTCTGGGTATGTTATTCCTATTCCCCACTTCCGTTAATGTCCTGGCTGAACGCAACGATAGTTGTAGGATCCTGGACTCTGCGAAAAAAGTGCAAAGGCACCTGGTGTAGCGAGTGTTCGGGTTGTTCTCTTCGGGTTGCTTTATTCGGGTCTTCAAGTTTTCTTCTTCTTTGTATACTAGCAGGGGGGTCATCGAGATGTATTGCGTATTATATCTTGATCAATTGATTATTTCCCCTCTCTAATTCCAACGCTGTAGCAGGTGCAGTTCCCTCACCACTTGAATGCTCGGCCCTTACTCAAGTTTCAATTCTGCTCATCAGCGTCACAGATTGTGGTGCGGGCAGTAGCGACATACCCTGTCACTCGACCATGCAAAATCTACCGCGGGCTGAATTTTGGTTTTAATCAATACCCCGAATACGTCACCACAGGAAGAAGAGAGTGGGGGAATGGGATCAGTAGAGAGTGTGCTGTCGGAATCACGCTTTGGGGTGGTTAGCCAGCGCCAGTTCCTGCTGTGGTTTATGGCGGTAACCTGGGAGAACTGCACTCCCCGACTACTACTTAGGATCCGTTGTATAATTGCACTGAATCAACAACTTGAGTGCTTTCCATCTGCCTCTCTATCCGAACATAAACCTCAAGTCTCCAGTGACCAAATTGTCCATAATACTCAAATCCTCCCTCCCTTTCTCAAGTTCTAATTGCACATGCCCCCGTCACAGATTGTGATGCGGATGGTGCCGACATGCCCTGTCACTCGTAGTGGCGGAATCTGCTGTGGGTGGGATTTTGGCCTAAGCCAGAATTTAGAAGGTATTCCCACAAGGATAAGGGAGTGTAGGGAATGCGATTGAAAAACGTGTTATCGTGATCATGCTTTAGGATCATAAATCTAATCCGATTCTCAATACTGAACTTCTGATGTCGTAACTGAGCAAAATTCTAGTTGATTTTTCGAATCGGGATAATCTCCCGCTTGTTCACTTGCATCCTCCGATACGAACCGATACTATAATTGGGCAATTTCTCGCACTATGATGTCCGCGCCTCCTCTAGCTTAAAAGCTCAGTCACCTGCTGACTAGATTGACCCGTTTCCAACTATATGACCATGATCATTCGGGTGGCGGAACGTGTCCTGTAGGGGCTTCCTTTGCTAAGATTAAACAGTCTAACCCACCTTGTTGTCAGCTTCCTCCATGTTGAAGACTTAGGCATATCATTTCAATAATACTTGCTCAAGGAGGGGACGAAAACAACCGAGTTGTCCGGATGATGCAGAGAAGCTCAGGGGGATTTACTCCGGAGGCCTTTGCCGTTTGCTCTCTAGCTCTGATTGTGATATGGGCTCCTATAGGACTACTAGGCGGCTCAAGTGCCCCAGCTTCCCATTCTCCGACCATCATCTTTGGACTTTACTGAAGGGTTGGGCCCGACTCTGACAGGATTCGATATCAGGCTACTAATTCCTATCTTTTCTTCTCCCCCTCTCTCCCCCTCTCTCCCCCTCCCTCATTTCTTCCTCCCACACCAACTCACTTCTAGTTCCACGGATACAGGTATGCTCAATTTAGCTCCTTGCCAGACTTCTTGCTAATCTCTATCGTCTTACGAGGTAGAAGAAAAGATGACCGTCAACGCTTCCCATACTACCCACAACCATCATTACCATTTCTATAATGGCGCAGTCATCCAATCTACTCCAGGGGGGTCCAACACCGCCTCCAATCAGGCCACTCAGGCACAATTCTTTGTTATGAAGATCCCGGAGGGGACCAAAGCCGCAAAGGCCATCGAAGCACCGAAGGAAAAAGAAGCGCAGAAGGTGAAAACTCCCGACTGCTCCTGGATGTTTGATAAGGATTCTCTCTATTATGTTGCACCGGCTTCTTCCTCCACCACAGCGGCTAGCCCTGCCACCAGTGCGAATAAGGGACCGGCAAAGATGAATATGGCTGGATTCTGGGTATGTTATTCCTATTCCCCACTTCCGTTAATGTCCTGGCTGAACGCAACGATAGTTGTAGGATCCTAGACTCTGGGGGAAATGTGCAAAGGCACCTGGTGTAGCGAGTGTTCGGGTTGTTCTCTTCGGGTTGCTTTATTCGGGTCTTCAAGTTTCCTTCTTCTTTGTATACTAGCAGGGGGGTCATCGAGATGTATTGCGTATTATATCTTGATCAATTGATTATTTCCCCTCTCTAATATTAAAGCTATAGCAGGCGCAATTCCATGTAGACTCTAGGTTATGGCACTCTCCCCGGCGAATCATCTATCCCCAAATAGTACTCCTTTGAGTCTCTTAGTATTTCTGGTCAGCCCCAGAATCAACTAATGCAATTTGTATCCTTCCTCCGGTCCGAACATAAGATCGGGCACCTAGTGGCCAAGTTGCTCATCATATCTAACCCCTTCCTTACTCGTGTTTCAATTCTGCATGCTAGCATCACAGATCGTGATGCGGGTGGTGGCAACATGTCCCATCACTCGGGCATGCAGAATCTGCTGCGGGTGCGATTTTGGTCTTAATCCGAGTTTGGAAGATCTTCTCATAGGGATAAGCAAGTGAACGGAAGAATATTAGGTGAGGGGCCTATTGTCGTAATTGTCTTCCTGATACTGAACTTAAATTGGCGCTCTGAATATCGAACCTCTGACGGCTTGGTCAAAGTTTCTTAAATTAGAGTCGCCTATTGCAACCTCTGTTGATTTTCCCAACTGGAGCGGGTCCCTGTTGTTGGCTTGTATCGTCCGGTATCAATCGATGTAGTAATTGACCGCTCTCCCGCCACCGCAAGGCCTAAACTTCCTCAATCTCAATGGCTCCCGCCTGCGCATTCCTAGGGACCGAGCCCTCGCAGATCGTGCGACCGTGGCGGCTGGGTGGCCGTGCTCATCTGGAGGGTCCCACATTAGCTAGCCCAAGGCACAAAAGGCCCCAATCCATTTTCCCACCAGTCACCTCATTTTCGGGAATACAGAGAGAGTATCGTATTGAGTCAACCGTCCAATCTCTCGGGAAACTAAATCCAAAGAGCTATTTCCAAAATGCGGGAGGACTCCTAGAGGCCTTCTCCCTGTGTTATTTGTCTTAACAGGTAATTTTGGAGGGACATAGGTCACCACAGGCCTGAAAGGCGGCTCCGGTGTCCCCGATTGACACACACGCACTCCCTTTTTCCTGAATTGGCGGAAGTGCCGGACCAGACTGAGGCGGTAAAAAAAGACCAGACCACCAGTTCCCTCCCTTCTTCTCTCCCTCCCTCCCTCATCAACAGATGCGCATTCACAACAACACAGGTATGCCTATCCTGACTCCTTATCAGACCTCTCGCCAACCCGTACCAGTCCTCACTCGCCAGAAAAGCGGCCGGCCTACTACTTTTTTACGATGCATAGTTACAACTATCATTCTCAAAATAGCGCTCCAGTCAAGCGGTCAGGGAGGGCATGGTAGAGCTAATTATTCTGTCCAAACACCCCGCTGGGGTAACAGCCCAAAGATACCAAAGAACCAGCAGAGAAGGCTTCTAAAGAAGAACTGGGTTACAGGCAGCTCCTGGGCCTTTAGCCCAGATTCTCTCAACTATGCGCTCCGGGGTCATCCTCCTCGCACCCCCCATGGGGGCCGTTCATACCAATACGATGCAGCCAACTTCTGATCATTCCCGGATGCCTGCCTCCGGCCTTCCCTACCATGCGAGTCTTGCATACGCCTTCCTCCCTAGAGCGGTCCCTACTTGCACTATCTCCGCTAATCCTACTAACACGAGGCAGCGAATAGCTATTGCCCTAGGAATCAGAAATCGGTAAATCCCAATTTTATTAAGTTCTATACATGTGTTTCGCATCCCCAGTTTTTCCCCAGGTATTTGGTAGCTGAAACGAATGACTCATGAAGGATCCAGAGAACTGAAAGGTATCCTGTGCAGGACTCTTGTCTAGAGATTTTCTTGGACTATTCTGTTGAGGTCTTTTTGTTTCCCTCTCCCCCTTTTCTTTCTTATCACGCAGGAGGGTCACCGGGAAGGCTTATTCATTTTCTCTTCAGAAGTTATCCATCACCTTCAGTGATGTTCTTTTCTTAGTGAATGTGGTCTCTTCGGGGTTGTGACTGATAGCGCTCGAGCTGAACAGTCACTCGCGTTCCTTCACAAGGTTCGGTGGACAGTGGTCAAGAGTTTTTGTCAAAATCCCCCTCACTTCTTCTCAGGAAGCTGTCCCTGTCCCGGCCTAAATCCTAGCGCACAGCAAGCCATCCCCTAGCAGGGGTTTGGAACAGTGTGTAGTCTCCCGTGTCCCTGTTTCTTCTCTGGAAATATCCCTTAGGAACCACCCCTAAGCCCTTGCTTATTCCAGACCACAAACCCGCCTCCCCGGGTCCTCGATGGGAGCTTGTTAGCTTGACCTACATCCGCTCCGGCAGTCATATACAAGATTCCACACTCTTCCTTCTTCTTTGGTCGAAGGAGCCATAGAGACCCAGTTGCTTTGTTTTCGGAAAACAAAGTACTCTATATCTATATATTCCGAGTTTGCGCCCATGGGTATGGCTTCCTTTTTCCTTTTTCCAAAGGGCAATCGCAAACTCACTCGACCCATGGATAGGAGGGTAACTCCTTGCGAGATCCAAGGATGTTCTATAACACTACAACTAAATCCCTCCCTTCAAAGATGTCGAATATGCTGTCACTCGGGCGTCCCGGCAAACGTTCGTTATCATCCGTCATAATAAAGCGAGGTCACAAGGATACGAGCATCACATTTGGTCACTCGTTTTCTGGAGTTCTCGAAGGCAGGAATTAAAAGGGACAGAGTTGGGCCTCAGGAAGGAAACCCTGGGGTATCATAGCGACGACCGGTGATCTTAATAATATGGGTGCATTTTTAGAAAAACAATGAAAATTGTATGTGACACAATTTTTATTATTTTCCCAGAAATGCACCCCTGTGGTCGTCGTAGGGGAAAAAAAATAATAGTATTGAACTAGCTACCCCCATTTTATTCTCCCGAGGTCCAAGGAGGTGCATGCATCTTGCCTGTCGTTGGATGATACTATGAAGCGCCCCGGAACCTATAAAGAGCTCCCGGGACTCCAGTACCCCCTGTTCCTTACTTCTTGCATCCACCACTTCCTCACACTCCAAAGATCCACCATCCGAAACACCTTATACACGCAATTACCGATGGGGAGCGTTAATCACTACTATAGCTTTGGCAACAATGCGACTCCACCCGTGCCAGCTTTAGAACCCGCTGCGCTAGACCCCAACGCGTGGATGTTCGGGGCACCAGCAGCCGATGCTCAGGCAGCCGCACCACCTTCTCCCCCTCCCCCTGCTCAAGCCCCAGCGGCTGCAGCCCCACTTCCACAGTGGTCGGCAATCCTGGGAAGCGGCAACCTCCCTCTCGCCCCTCCGGCTCCCCCTCCAGCTCCCCTCGTTCCTCAAGGCTACGTCCCACCTCCGCCACCTCCTCTCCCGGCCATGCCCGCTATGCCGGGATTTTACCCCCAGCAGCCACAAGCACCAGCCCAGTGGGCAGCGGTCCAGGGGCCAGCCGAGCCTGCTCCCATAGCCGGGCCCGATTGGTTTATTTCACCAGCCCAAGCTCCCGCGCTGGTAGCAGCTCCTCAGAACCCAGGGGGCTTCTAGGTAAATCTCTCCCGGTCTGGATTACGGAATTTCGCTAATTAGTGGTAGATGTAAAGCTATGAGACCACCCTGCGGTATCCATTGAGGTGGGGGGAGGTCGACGGAGAGATACACAGGGAAACCCCTTGGCTATTGGTGTCGCCAGCGGCATTTGATATCTGTTTTCTGTTTCTAGTTTAGGTTGCCCCGTTCTTTTATTTCCGGCCGGAGGTATGGGTTAGCCATTCGAGTATGTTTGCTCTGGAGTTCATGGATAGTAGCCCATATTGGCCATAAAAGTTTTAAATCAGCCGGCGTTTAAAAAAAATAAAAGTGCTTTACCGCGAGCTTAGAATTTAAGATGTCACGGACTTCTACACTTTCTCCTGCCCCAAAACCCCGGGTATGTACTTGTAGCAATTCAATTGGCAATTTGGGACCTACACGGCAGCATGCCTCCCATCATAGTATGGTATTCCTTCTCCCAAACCCCTCTCATGAACCAGAAACACACTACTCGCCAAAAGCGAAGGCCTGGCCCGGGGGTGCACTGTAAAGTATTATACCGGAGCAAAACATATCACACTCCTTGGGCTAATGCCCCGCCATAAGAAATTTCTAGTGATAGTCACCTCTCATGGAACGAGGTCCCTTTAAACAACCATGTCCATCATAGCCAAGACCAAAGCAGATTGGAGAGGTGACGGGAAACGGGTGTATCATAATCCTTCCAGTTCAAGCCGCGGCGCCGCAGTCGATTCGTTGCAGCGGGTACAGTACGTAAGAGTTTGGATAGACCTTTCTTCTTCCTTCCTTCCTTCCTTCCTTCCTTCCTTCTAGCAGGCACAGTACTGTACTGTAGAAGTAGGAAGGTGGACGGCAGTCGGATAAACTGCCATTAACGGAAGCGTCAGAGACACTTGCGGTTAGGTGTTGATGGGAGCGTTCCTCGTTGTTGATTGCCAGAGTACGAGTAGAGTAGATAGGGTATGTATATATATGTGCACGAGAGATCCATCCGTCGGCCGTGCCACCAAAGCTGTCCGAGCAACCGTCTATAATTTAATCTATTCTTGGTCCATCCATATATCACGATACATGTCCGATAATACCCATGAATCTTTAAAAGCACTATTTGGCAGCATGAAGAAAAGTAACACCAGCACAGCACGGTGGTCAAGACGGCTTTTACTCCGAGCGAATGAATGCACCCCGCCCCGAACCTACAATTCCCCGACGCAAGTAGAGATTCCCTATGATTGATACGTTGGATATAAGACACAGGAAAAAAAAAAAAAAAAAACCCCCCCAATCTCGGGATAGTTTTACCATACGGATCACGAGTATGATAGGAGAATGAGAGATGCAGTACCGGTACCATACGACCCCCACGCCCCAGAATCGTAGCAGAATGGTAGAATGTAGTGCTTGAAAAATACGGTACGTTACCATACCTTACCCATTGATGCCATACGGTAAATCACGGTGAATTACACTAGGAAGGTAGAATGCCGGGAGACGACATTTGTGACATCCGAAACCCTGATATCAGGTAATCTGATTCTCCATCCTACCGAGTTTAACGTGGGAATTCTTGGCAATGAAATTAGGCTTAATCTCCGGGCTTTTTCACGACGATCTGTTAATGGCATCTGGTATGTTTACGGTAAGTTACCGTGCTGTATCGTATCGTATAGAATGGTAACTTACCGTAAACATACCCTTCGTACCCTACCAGAATGTGAGTGAGGATCGGTGACAAGGTTCAGCGGAGAAAATGGCGGGGTCAATGTACGTAAGTTTTAGGCCTCCTCCCCCTTGCATAAATTGTGGTGGAAGCGCGCAGTGCCACAAGTGGCAACCAGTGGCGTCAATGGGAAACCCGACCCTCCTAAATAATATTAACTCATGACGGGAGCCTCAGAGTTCATCCTCTCCTGATTGCAGTGTGGGCGCCCCGCTCGGTGGCGCTTAGACTACCCGACGCTGGCAATCTGCTCGGGTCCGGCGAGTTGGACCAGTAATTAATTGATCGTTCTATCATATGCCATCTTACTTGTAACATGGGGCATACCCGTACCGTATCGGTACTTGTAACAAGTGCCGTAAGTTACCGGTACTCGAGTACTGGTATTTATCGATAGCGATGGATATCGCCATGGGGGCCACAGTTGGCTGATTGGATCTGCGGTACTGCCCCGGCACTCGTATCACAGATTAAATCTCGCCCGAACCCACTCAGATTGCGCATCGCTCGGCCGTGCTAACTGTGTTACCGCTGCGTGTGCCACGGTGGGGAGCCTTGAGGTACGGTACCTTCCCTGAAGAAGATGTAAAGGATGAGCAGCGAGTACCGGTACCGGTACTCGTACAGCATGATCTCTCCTGGCCGTGGTCCCTCGTCTCGAAAAGCTTGTATCATACAAACTTTTTTCCTTCCAACCACGGGGCTGGATACCTCTGTCAAATTCTCCCCTCTAGCGTTTATGTAAATATGATGTAAAGATAGTATTGTGGTAGGGCTTTTTTTTTGTGTGTGGGTATATATAGCTTTGTACCCGTATGATAGGGGAAATACTGTCTCACTATTCGGTCCTTGTTTTACCCCTCTCGAGAGGAAGTCTGTGGCTCCCCCCCGCGCATGGTCTTGGCTTCGCTGTGCTCCGATTAGCGCCATTTCCACCAGGACAAGTAGTCCACCAAACTCACTCTCTCCCTCTCCCTCCATCCGTGTCCCTCGTGGTGATTTGACGCATCTCTCGTGCTCTTCTCCCTCCAACCCTTCATCTTCTCTCACCAAGACCCCGTCCCTTGCCGCTGCCGTTGACCCGACTTCTCCTGACGACGGGTACCCACTGATTTCTCTCGTTAAATTTCCACGCTTCCCACGGGGTACCAAGCTCCCGTGAACGCTCTTACACATTCACCCCCCCCTAAGCCCCACATCCCCACCGAAGATGCCGGCCCGTGCAGTTTTCCTCGCCGTGTCCGCAGCTATAGCTGCTGGCATCGTGGTTTACCATGAACGCGAGAGACTCTTGGAGCTGCTTGAACGCACCGGTCGGAAAGTTGCCTTGTCGTTCTCGCAAATTGCGGAAGAGCTCAACCCACGACCACGACAGATGGAGCATCCTATGGCCGGCAGAACACCCCCTCGGCCGCGAACTCCGAGCGGGGAGGAGTGGACAGAAGAGGAGAAAGCCTTCATCTTTGACGAAAAGTTCACCGACGCCGAAGCAAGCAAGCGAGACGAGGATACCTTCGGTGCAGCCTCTGGCTGGGAGGGACTGGATGGCGTGGCAGGAGACGTAAGACACCGCGGCTCGCCACTCGTGGCTCCGGCAAACGATTCCGTCCACTTCGACACTGCACCGGCTTCGCCTGCCAGGTCCTCCACACCAGCGGGAGTTGCCGTAAAGGTGCCCGGCTCTGTTACAGCTACTTCCCCCTCCCGCCGCAGTTCGAGCGCCACACTTGGTGGCGACAAGGCTCTACCTAACCTGCCCCCTGCGCTGCCACCGAAGCCTCGGGCTCTCGCTCAGGAGGCCACCCCGACAGCCGCAAATGTAGATTCCCCGCAGACCTCCTCGTCGAGCAGCGGTCACGAGGGACACCAGGCTGAAAACCCCTTTGGGGACTCGCGACCCTACTGGAGCATCCATGAGTGGGCTGAAAATACCACGCTGGGTGGCGGCAGGTCACCGAGCATTGCTGGCAGTGCCGCCGAGGAAATCTCACAGCCCGCCGACGAGATCTTGAGTGAATTCGGATCTGAGGATGAGAGCGTGGGTTCGTGGACTGAAGTTGGTAGTTCCATTCACAGTGACGACGAGAATTAAGCGCATTCCTGTTTGCTTCTTTCAACGCATCTGTTTTGCTTGCAAATGGTCTGGGATAAACTATTTTGGCGCGCGTGGGAATTCCTTTTCTGTGTGTATCTATAAACTGTACGGATGGGAACCACAGGAGAGCTGAGATTAAGGGCAAAGAAAAACAAAAAGAGAGAAAGAAAGAAATTGTCAGGCTTTTTTACATTCCGTTGGGCAGGGGGCCAGCCTCAGGTTTTTCTTCATTTTTTTTCTCCCGATTCGTTTCTCTGCTATGATCTCACCTCATCATTTTCTTTCCTCCTCTCCTTTCCTTTCCTTTCCTTTCCTTCTTCTCTTGTGGAGTGGTCTAGTTTATATTTTTGCGTACTCTTCCCTGTACGAGTACTTTGCACTTTTCTCACCTTTTCCCTTCATCACTTCCAGCTTCCCGCCCAACCAACCCAACGCCGCGGAGGAAAACAGACAAGCTGGGAAAATTATCCTCTCTCTTTTTTTAATTCTTTCTTCGTCTTTCTTCTTTCCCTTGACTTTTGCCTGATTACTTGCCCGCTTCGTTATGTTCCATCTCGTCCGTACTGGGTTTCCTTTTTTCTCTCACCAATTCTATCCATATACACAAGCGAATGGCTAAACCTGAGTACTCCGGTTGAAATTATTTTGTGTTCTCCACGAATTGGTGGTTGTCACAACTGAGTGTGAAGTGTGGCGGGCCCTGTAACGAGTGAGAGTACATGATGTGGCTGGAAGGGGGAACGTAAGCCTTTGAAGGTTTTTGTGGGGGCGGGGGATAGTTCTTCCGTGCAGGGGTTTGGATAGCTACCCGATGCCGTGGGGTATGCCACTTCTCTGAACGTGCTAGACAAGGTATTGCCTTACTCTGCTCTGCTCCTAAGTATGATATTGAAAGAGTCTGTTGTGCCGTAAACGTGGTGAAGAATACCGGCCCTCTCATAACAGGTTTTGCTACTCCCAATCAACGATTCCCGTCCATTCTCACAACTTGTATTTCGGCAGCAGGGTTTTAACACGGTCCGGGTGGAATATCATATCATAACCTCCCCGGGTCCACATCACTCTGTGAAGTGAGAACTGAGGAAGGAAAGTATGATATAGAGGGGCGGAACGGGGCTGGGTTAAGCTACCTCATTGCACAGTCCCTAAGTTAACGGTTACTCGTGCCAAGGTTGTGACTAAGCGTCACAACCCCCGGTTGCTCGCTCGCTCGCAACCTGGGGCACTCAGAGAGTGCCTGCCAGCTCAACATGACTTGCCAGCTCAACATGACTTGTGGCTCAACTCAACTTTTTGTGGCTCAACATAGTATTGTCCACCAATATAGTTTTGCAACTTAATATAGTTTTTTATGGAGCTCAATGGATTCTTCAAGTTGCCATTCAACTTAAATGTATTTATTTCTTTCCAGCTCAATAGAATATTATTATTCAACTTAAACATCTATATTTCTCTGTAGATCAATGGAATATTGCTATTCAACTTAAACGTATTTATTTCTTTATTGATCAAGGGAATATAGCTATTGAACTTCAATGACCTTCTATAGTAGAACAATAATATTAAGATCTATAGTTCCTATTATGCTATTTTCTATTTGTTTATATCAAATGTGAGGTATAAGTACTGTAGTTATAACTTAACAACTTTCTTTTTAGTTATGTTTTAAAACCCATCTACAAGCTACTCAATTCCTCTTCGTTTCATTTGATATTCTATTTGCAATCTCCAATTTTACCTATTCGTTCCCAATTATGTCTCCAGTTCCATCGACAGTTAAGCTCCCCAGCCAGTGGGTTGAGCCATACAAGGATACTGAAACCAGAATAAAGGCTGCTCTTACATCTCTTGAGGGATTGGAACATGAGAAACCAAACCTTACAGCCTTGGCACGCCAGTATGAGATTCCAGTTTCACGACTTCGAGCACGTTGGCAAGGGATTCCCTCAAAGCAAGATAGACCTGCCACTAATCGAAAACTTTCTGAGGATCAAGAATTGGCTGTCTGTCAATATCTTGATCGATTGGATGCTATCGGAACCAGTACCCGATTCCAAATGCTTTCAGGTTGTGCAAATGCGATCCTCAAAAATACCCATACAGGTCCACCTCCTGTACCAGTTGTAGGTGAACACTGGGCGCAACGCTTCCTGACTCGTTATCCCGATTATGCAATTCGAAAACAACGTACGATTGATGCCGAAAGGAAGAATGCTCATCAGCCTGATGAAATACGAGATTGGTTTGG